GTGTGTGTGTGTGTGTGTGTGTGTGTGTGTGTGTGTGTGTGTGTGTGAATGCAGGCATGAAACAGAGAGATGGGTGAGGCAGCTGTTCCTTCCAGGAGGGCATGGGGAGGGGCCAGGGCCAAGAGGTCCAGCACAGCGTCTCCATTCTCGGGTCCCTCCTGTGCCCTTCACACGCCTCTGCCCTCCTCCTCCAACACCCAGTAAGAACTTAAGGAGACCTGCTCTGTGTGCAGTGCTGGTGGGGATGCTGTCCCTGCTCACATGGAGGTGACAGTCCAGGAGGCGCCAGGCATCTTGTTAAACACTCACAGAGATGCAGTCCAGACTCAGGGCTAAGCCTACAGGTACAATGGCCATGAGTCTCATGGACAGGAAGGATGGCTGGGAGGAGCAAAGGAGAGAGGAGATGCAGGATCAGGGCTCATACCTGAGTTTGTTGGGGTGAAGGTTGCATGAGGATTTCTCAAGGACCAGAAGTGGAGTCAGGGGCAACGTGCCTGGGACAAGGGCTGTTGTGTCTTTCCTGAGAAGACCTCCGCTCTGACAGGCTGTGAGGACTAAACCAGGAAAGCCAGATGCTGGAGGAAGGGAAGGCTCTCCCCCCACCATAGGAGGTGCTGCCTGAGAACCTGGCAGGGGACCCTCCTAAGGATTCAGGGAAGGACGAGAAAGGGGACTTCAGTCTGAAGAATGAACAAATACAAAGGTGCAGAGGCAAGAGAGCACAGCGACAATTTCAGGGTTACCAGACAGCAGTAACAATGTGTATTGCCAATTATTTTCTACTGTGATCACCTTCTTTTCCTCCTTTGACATGGGGAAAGTACACAGCTTGACCAAGAGGCCACTGGGGCAACACCTGGACTGTGAAACCAGGTTGCACAGAAGCCCACCTCTCCTTCCTTCTCCAAGGCTGAGTGCGCAACCAGCGCCATCCTTCCCGGTTGCCACCTTCCGAAGTGCCCCAGCCAATTGCCAAGAGTCCACAGGCCTTCAGTCACATGGCCATTCCATGGAAGACTGGATCAGAATTTGCTTCATGGCCTCTGGGCCCCTCTAACACTTTGGCTCATTATCTCTCCCAGTTGTGCTCCCTCCACCCCCGAGCACTGGCCATCCCGGCATGGTGACTCAACCAGAGCACTGGACACGGAGTTACTTGGGGTTAAATCAGAAGAGACTTCCTGAGGGCTATGGCAGACAAGAAGAGGAGATGCCTTGTGTGCTTGAAGGTCCCTGAAGCCTTCCCCAGGCGGAAGGGCAGGGCAAGCAGAGGGACCAGGCGCAGAGATGGGGAAGAGC